AAAAAAAAAAAAAAAAAAGAAAAGAAAAAAAGTGTGTCAGATCAGATTTGGTGCAAAAGCAGTGGAGGCAGACCGAAACTAGAATTTTGACTGATACCAGTCTTTTCTGACATCCAGTCGAAGTTTATTAGGAACTCAACACAGTCCACTCCCCTGCCCTTTGGAGGTACTCCAGCCCCCCTCCCCCATGGACAATAAGCAAACCCTTAAACAAAACCAAAAACAGAGCACAGACTTCCACCCTTCCTCTGATTCCTAGGGGCCGAGGCCAAACACTCTGCAAAACTCCGCCAGCGCACGCGGGCTCCGCCCGACGGGAAGGCTTTGCTCCGCACGCCTCCCAGGCGTCCACGGCTCGCCTCTCCCTTGCACTGGGGCTAGCTCTGGACAAGGCGAGGGCCCCAAAGCACCGGCTCTCTGACCACCCTCTCGGCTCTGCTCCGAGTGCCCTGGGAGCCCCCAGCTTGCCCCAGCGCCCTACATTCCTCACGCTCCCTCACCTGCTCCAGCTCCCCATCCAGTTTCCAGTTCCTTTCCCCACGCCTGGCGTAAAGGACTATGGGAGTCGTAGTCCGCAGTATTTTGGGAAGGAGATTGGCGTAGCCGCTGCACTTCCGCCGGAAATGCCCAAATCCCCGGAAAGTGTTTTAGATGAGCCCCAAGAGGTGGTGGGAGTTGTAGTTTATTCTCATCATCCGCGCTAAATGTAGCCGGCCGCGGCGGCATAGGCATGTTATCCCTCAACTCGGGAGACTGAAAAAGAGCTAAATCTAGAAGTCTCGAGAGATGAGAGGACCTAACCCTAAACTTTATTCCCAACCATCAGGAAGGTCCAATCCTCCAAAATCTCTCACCTACCTGAGGGTACTGACAATGGCTAAAATCCATTTCCACTCCTCTGGCTACTCCAGGTGTAAGACAATAAGCCTTTGCAACCCTCGAGGATCCATTACTGCATGCAGAACGTCAACGGAGGCGTTTCTGGCATCTTCTAACAAGTCTAGCAGTGAGCACCACTCCATTACTGTCCAGCCCCTTCACAGTTCCACCATTTTGACTTTTTTCCCTCTTCTGCCTTGCTATCTGCCCAGCCCCATAACTTATATTAGTCAGGGTTCTCCAGAGAAACAGAACCAACTGAATATCTGTTTCTCTTCCTCTATGAGGAGATGTGTCACGTGACTGGCCCACAGGATTATGGGGGGCCAAAGAACTCCCATGATCTGCTGATCTACTGTTAGTAAGCTGGAGAACCAGGAAAACCCATGGTGTAATTCAGTCTGAGTCAGAAAGGGGTCTGCAGGGAAGCTTGTTGATATAAATCCCGGAGCTTGAAGGCCCCAGAACCAA